TTCTACAGGATTCTTAAATTCGCTCTGAGATAACTTGAGGGAGCTAAAAACCTTCTCAGAAGTGAAAAGTATACCCTGCCCCAAAAAAACCCTCTCCGAAACCATCGTCCCTAGGAATCTCACTCAGGAGCTCTGCAGTAATAGTGAGAGAACATTGGTCACAGACACAATTTTTCAGGCTTACCACCTTCCGAAAAAAAACCCTGTCTCGAAAGAAAGACCCTCTCCGAAACCGTCCGTCCCTTGGAATCTTACTCAGCAGTTCTGCAGTAAATGAGAGGCAACATTGCCCACAGACAGAATTTCTCAACTAGAAAACCTTCTCTCAACCACTCACTTTATCTTTTTTCCCGGTCTCCTAGACTTCTCGGAACCAAGTTATGCATTTTTTGGGTAACGCCGCCCCTTTGGTGCACGCCCCACCCACCAGTAGTGCTTGACCTCCCCTCCATTGCGGACTCACTTCACTTTTCTTCCGGTCTCCAAGAGTTCTTGGAAACCGAGTTATGAATTTTTGTCGCAAACTCTGCCCACTTTGGTCATGCTCCGCCCACACCAACACTTTGACCTCACTCCTCCACCCATCTCTGTCCACCTTTTTCCGGCTCCCTAAGGTTTCCCGCCCGAATTATGAGGACTTGTAGAAAACGCACGCCGTACACTTCGGAGGCGCGCTCCGCCCATTGTGAGCGGGCCTCTACCCTCAAAGATTGCTTCCCTGCACCAATTTGTTTTGTGCTCTGTAGGCCTTCTCCCAACCAGTTATCAATTTTTTTTTGTTAAACACTTCTTAATTTTTTTTTTTTTTAATTGAGCGCCAACCTTTTACTTTTTTCCCGCAGTTTGAGCTGTTTTGAAAGTATCTGACATCCTCGGTCGTTAGCAGCCACTCATTCGTATGCACGCCAGCCCACTGTAGCCGGGGCTTCCGCATTCGCAGGCGCGTCTGCGTTTGTACTTCGCGAGACCCTGCCCACCCCATCCCACACTTTACCCGGTCTCTCCAGGGCCGATCCCCAGAAGTTAGGAATTTCGTGACAGACATACAGAACGGCAGACGACAGACGACAGACAGAACGACAGACGAAACGCTTTATAGTAAGTAGGATCCTTTATCATTATTGGTTATATGCAGCTGACGGAGTGGCAAGAAGCGGCGTTTTCCACACGCACGGCCAGGGGATCGAGTAATCGACCGCACGCCGTCCAGTCTAACCAGCCTTCTATCACTGCGAGTTCAGTAGATTAGCTCTGGAGTTGTCGAGGGAAAAAATTTGATGACTTGAATATCAGCTGTTTACCTTTTTCGAATGATAATTGAGCTTAAGTAGTAATTAATTAAATAGTCAATTGAGAGAGATGCGAAGGGTAACGGGTCGGCGAGGTGCACGTGGCCGCCAAGGGCTGGAAAGACGATCGCCAATGGGGAGAAAAAGGTGAAAAAACAAAGTTTCGTGTGCAACCTGTGTACACCATTCGATAGTATTTTTCATGGGAAATCGAATGGTGCACATTTCAGGTTCCAAAGTCCATCTGGACAAGCAAAAAAATCATTTCACAAGGATGACGAGGAGTGATGTTTGGGGCCACACCACGGAAGGAACGCTCACCTGCGACCAAATATTTTACATAATCCTACAGACAAGTAACCGTAGTCTACGACAGTGGAGAGAATTCCTGCTATCTTCTCAGGTTTCCGCAAAACATCTCCTCTAAATGTGGGGAATGTCACATAATAGGTCTACTACTACTGCTGGAAACTGTTCGAAGATTCTCATTTGGAGTGGAAGAATGGGTTGATCAGCGCACGGTTAGCCAATTAGCGCTCTAGAACGAATTAAAGATCGTGAAATTCGAAAAAAAACATTCATTCAATCTCACCATATGGTGGACCGGTTGGGTACGTGGCGTATTCTGAGGGTGTTGAGATCCATGTTTCTGTGGGATGATCAGGCTGCATAGGAGGACTTATATGCGCACACATACAAAGTATATTCATTACTTCTCGGGATGGAGGTCGAGTGCATGGCGCAATCCTAGATGGAGCTCTTTCAGAAATTGAATTTAACCATCTTGTAGATCTCGAGCAGAGCTATCAGATGGTATAAACTGCAGGTCGAGCGAACCATTTTTTAAAGAGTTATGGCGAGCCGACGGTTTGCGACGGTTTCCGACCGTCGCAAACCGTCGATTGAACAAAAATTAGTAGCGGTATTGTACATGGCGAACTTTTATCAAAAACAAGTAGTTTGTTTTTTCTTCGAGAATAAGGGTTTTCTCGGCCGTTTGTCACATGGATTTATGACCACCAAACACTGCTATTGTTTTACACTTCGAATCGCTCACAGTAGACATTATTATCATACATGCACTACGGGATTTGCGGCATCTGCCACACATTCATGGATGATGGAATATTTCATCAGACTTGAAATCTAGTCAACAAACCAGGTCAGTAGAGTGAACTTTCACAGTTCGTGATGATTTTTACGACAGGTGCCCTTTGTCTCCGATTATGTGAGAGCATGGCGACTTCTATTTACTTGAATACAGTAACAGATTTCGTCATTAGATAAAAACCGCGTAAGGATAAAAAGTTTTGTGCGGCAGGATAGTGTCGCGACAGATACGACTGCGAACACTTCGGAAACGCTTACGGTAAGAGTGAGTCACTTAGTACTGTGAGAAGTACAGTGTGGCCGAAAAGTATAGGGCGCGACTTCGGAAAACTGGGTTGTTTTTCTCCGTCGATCTTTTTTTCACAGAGTGCACTTATTTTTCAGACATGCATAATATTATCATGAACGTTCTGGTTAAGCTGCGTCCATTGTGACACTACCGTCTAAGAACGTTTGATTCCTGTATCAGACCTCATAAAATTGTATTATTCTCTTATGATATTCTTTCTTTTCTTCTTTATTTAATTCTTATTTTCCCTAACAAGCAATTGACTGAAATTGCTTGTTAGGGAAAATAAGGGAAAGAAGCAATTGGAATGTAACCACCACCATAATCTGATA